AGAATCTGAAGGAGGCTCCAGCTCTGAGTTGGCTGTCAGCACAGAGCCCGACACGGGGCTCAAACCCACGAACCGTGAGGTCATGACCTGAGCCGAAGTTGGATGCTTAACCGACTGAGCCACCCAGGCGCCCCAAAATCTTATTCGCTTTAAGCCTGAGTAATATTCCATTGTGTATATATATGCCATATTTTCTTTACCTATTAATCTGTCGACGGACATTTGGGGTGATTCCATATCTTAGCTATTGTAAATAAGGCTGCAATAAACATAGAAGTGTATATAACTTTTTGAATTAGTGTTTTAATTTTCTTTGGGTAAATACCCAGTAGGGGGAATTGCTGGATCATATGGTATTTCTATTTTTAATTTTTCAAAGAACTTCCATAATGTTTTCCACAGTGGCTCCATCAATTTACACTCCCATCAGCAGTGTATTAGGGTTCCCTTTTCCCCCCACATCCTTGCCAACACTTGTTATTTCTTGTGTTTTTTATTTTAGCCATTGTGACAAGTGTGAGGTAATATCTCATTTTGATTTGCAATGCTAATAATCCTAATAATAACCCTTTACATGTATGTTTCCATGACACACAAAGCAACAACATATCCTAGTTGCTCCTTATAAATATTCTCACTAGTCTCACAGGGAAACTGAGGTCTATAGAGGGGAAATAGCTTGTCCAAGGTAATTGAGCCAGTCACATGAACCCCCTTCTATGTTAACAATTTTGTCCTCACAAACTTTCCAAGAGGCAGAAAGATAATTTTAGCAGCAGGAAATCTGAGAGTGGAGGCCAGCAGGCTATTGGCAAGGTCTGAAAGGGTAAACCTGGGTTCCAGGCTTGAAAACCCAAGTCAAAATTGCCTGGAACTGACACTAGCTAGTTGGTTGGTTTTTGTGGTTGTTGCTGTTGCTGTTGTTTTGCTTTTGTGGTTGTATGTGTGTTTGGTTTTTTGTTGTTGTTGTAAACAACAGTTTATCAATTTTGTAGACCACAGTTATCAATTTTTATCCTAGAAGCAGGAGAACTAAACAAGTTTTGTGGAAAGGTCTTAGAATGGCTCTTCTCAATCAAGCTCAACCTACTTCTCTAGCCATGTGTCTCTTTAGACCCTCATGCTTAAACTACACTGGCTGACTCACTGAGTCCTCAAACATAACATATACTTTTTTCTTTCTTCTTCCTTCCTTCCTTCCTTCCTTCCTTCCTTCCTTCCTTCCTTCCTTCCTTCCTTCCTTCCTTCCTTTCCTTCCTTCCTTCCTTCCCTCTCCCTCTGGGCCTTTGCCCAGCCTGAAATGACTTATCTTTCCTTCCGTTCTCAGTGAAATCTTACTCATTCTTCAAGACATGGTTCAATGTTTGCCTTCTCTGGGAAGCTTTCCCTGTACACTGGGACAGGCATTATCTTTGGTTCTAGTATCTGAGCAAGTATCTACCAGTGTTTGTTGGTATACTTCCCTACTAGACTGTGAGTTACTTGAGGATGGGGACTAGACCTCAGTTATTTGGTATGTGTTTCCAGTGTCCAGATCAGGTCCCGGCAAAGAGAAGACACTCCCTCAGTGAGTATTTGTACAATCTATATCTCTCTACCCTAGATGAGATGACCATGTAGACAAATAATCCTTAATCATAAAGGTAAATGTTATAACTGAGAGCTATGCAGGGAACTGGGTGGGCAAACTAACTAGGTCTGAAAGTAGGAGGTGCAACCTAGAAAGTTTCTCAACCTTGAATAGGGCAGAATAGAAAAAACAAAAGAATGAAAGCCCTCCCTGAAAAGGTCCAATTAACTGGTTACACAAGGAGAGTTCACTCAGTATCAGAGACTCATTCAAGACCCAGATCTTAGCCACAAATTCTAAAATGAGGTTAATTCTAGGAAGAAAAAATACATAGTGTGACTTCCTGAGGCCAACTGATCCTGACCATCCTCCCAAAGTATGGGGTATGTGGGAGAATCTCATTAAAAACAGTAGTAAGACCATTCTGATGGGTTACAAAATCACAAATGAGGTCTCCCTATTAGTAATACTTGGGAGTATGTGGATATGAATGCATTTATGGTGGATAAAGGTATAGAGGGGAGACTGGCCACATTCTTACAGTTTAGGTGTCTATATGTGAGTATCAGGCCTTCTGTGGCAGCAGCCTAGGTAACACTTCCTTCTTAGCCACTTCCCTGGCCCACTGTCCCCCCCACCCCCCACTATATTCAGCCCCATGCCTAGGGCCCAAGGCTCACTGCATCCTAGTCCTAGGAGTGTGTCTCCAGAGACTATAGTCACTCAGGGAGAAGAGCAGCTGGATGGCTGTGGTGGTATTGCCTGTGGAGGCTAGAGAAAAAAGCAGGGTCACTAATATCAGACAAAACATGGAAGTCCTGAAACATCTCCAGAAATTTAGTTCTTGTTCTCCTACTCCTTTTCACCTTGAGAAAGCCCTCTGAAGGAAGTAAGCTAAGGGCTTCAATTTCCATTATAGTAGGAGGTTACTGAAGCCAGAAAAGGTGAAAATCTTGTTCCAATTGCCACAGCAAACCAGACCACTTTATACACCATTGGGGAGGTAAGAGATATAATTCCTACCATCCAGTTCACTAAAAACTGGAATAGACCAAGTTAGAGAGACTTCTTTTTTTTTCTTTTTTTTTTTTAAATTTATTTTTGAGAGAGAGAGACAGCATAAGCAGGGGAGGTTCAGAGAGAGAGGGAGACACAGAATCTGAAGACAGGCTCCAGGCTCTGAGCTAGCTGTCAGCACAGAGCCCAACACAGGGCTCAAACCCACAAACCATGAGATCATGACCTGAGCCGAAGCCGGATGCTCGACCAACTGAGCAACCCAGGCGCCCCTAGAGAGACTTCTAAAGGTGCTAGAGAACGGCGTCTTTAGGTCAGTATCCCACAAAGACAGGTGGGAGTGGATGATAGATAGATAGGTAGATAGATAACTAGCTATAGATATCTTTTCTCCAACACTCCCATAGCCTTTAATCCACACTTCAAACAACCCCTATGTAAAGAAAACTTTCCAGAGAGCCTGAAGAATGAATTTGGATTTGTGTAACCCCATCTATTTTTCCTTCTGTCTCACCTACCTGTTCTCCTAGAGATTTTTTCTTCCATTGCTAATTATCCGACACACAGCGTTCTTGCATTTAGACTCTCAAAGCAAGTCCATGGGTGGCATCAAAGAGAGAGTCTTTGGTTGTTTCCTTGGAGAGGCTAGGGAAGTACCCTTAGTAAGAGGGGCATGTGTGCCCTCTGTTGAAATATCAGCTGTTAGTTGTCAAAGAAGTTTGTGAGCCACCCGGAGCCTTTTCTCTTCAGGCCAACCGTGTGTTCTCCTTGCACCAAAGGTCAGAACTAATATTAACAAGCAACTGCAGAATGGGGAAATTAAAACCAGCAATGGAGACAGGCAAGATCTGGATTTCTTCGGGGCTGAGTTTCAGATTGGTCTTCAGTGTAAATGGGCACGGACTCTTACTGGACATTGCTTTGGCAATACGAAGCAAGAGCTATAAAAATGTTAATTTCCTTTGTCCTAGTTATCCCACTCCTGGGACTCAATCCTGAGCCAATAACCACCAAAGCATGAAAAAGCTCAAAGCAACAAATTTTTTATTTTAATTGCAGAGCTATTTATCTTGATGGCAATAACTGGAAGGTAACCTTTAAGTCCTCTAGAAGAAAGCAGCTCTTTGGGTCTTTTCTGCAGACATTGAGGATTATGGCTCTAAGACTATAAAAGAATTCTGGGGAAATAATTATGTTGCAATTTGGGGTGAGGAAACTAAGAATGCAAAGTCATACTTTTTCTTGGACATTGGACATGTCTATTATTTCTACTGTGTTCTCAAAAACATGTCACTAACATGTTGGTTTTGCATTTGTCCTGTGTTTGTTCATTCAGTTAGGAAATATTTATAGGCTCCTAATATATGCTGTGCCCTAGATTAGAAGATGGGGTTAACAAGATGAATCAGACATAGTCAATATTGTCAAGTTGCTGGAAGTCGTGTGACAAAAACAAGAATCAATGGTAGCTGTGCATTGTGATAAATGCTGTGACTGAATGGACCAGAGGGAGCTGTGGGGGCCCAGAGGAAAAGATCTAACTGGGGCGGTGTGGTATATGGGTGTTAGGAAAAACTTATTCAGGAAAGTATTCCTTGAGCTGATTAAGATAGTTTTAATCCTGGCTTTACCGCTTCTGTGAGACTGGGGTGAATTCACTCATTCTCTCATACTTAGCCTTAATACCCCTTACAGGGTTGTCCAGAGAATGAAACAAATAATGCATATGGAAGAGCCATGGGCTACACTGGGAGACAGTGCTGCTCTGGAGATTGGGTGGCCCACTTAAATTCTCTGGACTTCGATTTTACTCATCTGAGAAATGGAACCTAGAAAAGTATGTGTTGGACCATGTCCTTAGGAATGTTATAAGGCATTATGTTATAAGACAAATAATGGCCATTAGGTGGGTTTGAGACAGCTTCCTCCCTTCCTCTCTCCTTGCCCTATAAAGCCAGGGGCCTTCCCCTAAGACTTATTCCACTAATGTACTTCCTGCTCCCTCTAGCCGCTCAGTTCCCTTCCCATATCCCCTCTCCCAACCCAAGCACAGTTACAGCAATTACTGCCAGGACGCCAGTGACGCAGCCAGCAAAGCACTTGGGGGTCCGTCGCCCTAGGGACGGGGCTTCAGTCGCAGCGCGGTTCCATTCAAGGTTCCGCTGCTTAAAAGGTGGCAAAATCTCGTTTTAAGTAGTGGCACCCAGAGGGCTTTTGAGCAGCAAGGAAAGGAAGTCTGACGCCAGCGTTAGGCGGGAGGAGCGGGAGCTTAACAGCAGAGCTTCCTCTTGACATTCATTCCTCCCAGTAGGCGTTTGCACCACCTCATTCAAATTCCGCTCCTCCCGCCAATAAGAACTGAGGAACTCGAAGCCCCGCCCCACCTTCAAGGACCCCGTAGTGGCGCGCAGGAGAACGCAGGCGCCATTACGCGCGGAAGTCAGAATCTGGCCAAATTGGGGGTGTCCGGCCGATCTGTACCCCTAGATTGGGCACGGACTGTGAAGTGTTGCAGTCAAGATGTTGCGCGTGGTGAGCTGGAACGTCAATGGGATCCGGAGCCCCCTGCAAGGGATGGTACACGAGGAGCCCAGCAACTATGCCTCCATGGTCGTGGGGCGCATTTTGGACAAGCTGGATGCCGACATCGTTTGTTTCCAGGAGACTAAAGTGACGAGTGAGCGCACAGATGTCCAAGACCCCTACCATACTTTACCTTTTCTACTAACTTTTGTCCCTTACTTAATTTCATTTTACTTTGCCATTTCTCTATCCGTAGAGTCCTCTTACACACATTTCAGAATCCTGATCCCCTCCCCCTTAAACTCCTCCTGTCTCTCACTCCAGCTTAATGTCTTAATTCCCACTTCATCTCCTGTCCACAGCAGAACTTTAATTTCCTCACCCTTCCGACCTTCATCCTCGCTCAGATTCTCTAATTTCCACTCATTCTCTTGTCCCAGATCAGTACCCCAAATTTCCTCTTTCCACACACTGTTCAGCTCCAGCTCCCCTTCCTTGCGCCCAGCTCAGACCCCACCTTTACCCTCAGTTCAGATTCTCTGAGTTCTTCCCTTTTTCCTTTCCATTTCAGATCCTCAGTTCTTCCCTTACATCTTCTATTTCTCTTCTTACCAGCTTCAGAACCTCTTAGCATTTCTATGTCATGTCCCACTCCAAGGTTAGATCCCCTAAGTTCCCTCTCTCTTGCACCCAAGCTCAACACCTCCCATTCCTTCCCTCTCCCATGCACCACCTCTGGGACCCTCGAACTACATTTCCCTTCATCCCCAGTTCAGGTCCTGTAATTGCCTCCGTTTCCTACCTCCTATTCCCAGCTCGGATTCCCAGTTCCCTCCCATATTTCGGTTCCCCACCTCCAGCTCCCTCCATTAACCTAATCATTAGCTTCTTCCCACCTAATTCCCTACCTCCCATTCCTTAGCCTCCCCCTCCTTATATCAATTTCTTCACTAGTCCCAAACTTTCTAGACTCTCCACTAATCATAGATATTTCCTCCCAACTCTGGTTCTGATGTGTAAAATGAATTAGCCTACAACTGTAATTCCAGACCTTTGTGTGTCCAGGGCTTTACTTTTATCTCTGACACAATCTTAAGGTTTGTTTGTTTGTTTTTGCAGGAGATGTGCTGACTGAGCCCCTGGCTATCACTGACGGCTATAACTCCTATTTCAGCTTCAGCCGCAGCCGCAGTGGCTATTCTGGTAAATGGGTCTTTCTGGGGGACTTAAAATGAGTGATGGAGGCAGTTCAGGGGAAGTTTTCCAATATTTGATGAGGTCATAAGAAACTTAGGCTTTTTATTTTTAATTTTTTGAAATTACAAAGCTACTTTTAATACTTTGGGGTGATTCTCACAGGAACAAAAAATACTGGGAAGGGGTAACCCCCTGATTCCCAGGATGATCCAGGGGAAAAAGAGGCTACCTAAGGGGAAGGAAAGTACAAAAGGGACCTGTTGCAAACTCAGGGCAAAAGGAATGCCATCTGTGCTGGGACCTGTGAGTGCTATAGGAGAAAACACAAACCTTGATGGGCCTGGCTCCAGGCACACAGGGAAGGGCAAGAGGGTTGGACACAAAGCTACTTGGGTTCCTCCTTCTTCTTAGCCTTTCTCTGCTTCTGCTGAATAATCTCTGAGTCCCTCTGCTTGCAGATGGCAGCAGAGAGCCTGTCATTCTCATTCTTCGGACTTTCCCTTAACCTGGTCACTCTGCTTTTTCATATTCTGGCAGGTGATCTAGTGGTGTTTACCAAGGGTCATGGTGAGGGCAGTGGCTCTGGCCTGTCTCTGTTGCATCCCCTCATTCTACTCAATGTTGCAGGCCTCCAGGCTTTTAGTCCACAAAGCTAAAGTCACATAAAATTATGTGAAGGATAGTTTTTATGTATAAAATTATCCTATTGGACTTTGGAAACAATCATGTGGTAGTTAATTGTATGAGCTCTAGAGCCAGACTGCCTAGATTTGAATCCTATCTCACTTCCTAGCTGTGTACCCTCTGGCAAGTTACTCAACCTCTTTAGGCTTCATGTTTTTCAGCTGAAAAATGGCAGGTAATGCCTACCTTCTAGGGCTAGTACAGGCATACTTTGTGTTGTATGTATATATATATATATACTTATATATAATGCTTATATATAAACTTCTATGTAAATAAATATATAACATGAATATACATAAATATGTTTATATATATATACATACATCTGTAAGTACTTCACTTTGTGTTTTGCAGATATTGTGTTATTTTATTTATTTTAATGTTTATATATTTTGAGAGAGAGAGTGCATGTGAGCAGGAGAGAGGAGAGAGGCAAAGAGAGAAAGAGAATCACAAGTAGGCTCCATGTTGACAGCACAGAGCCCTACATGGGAGGGCCTTGATCTCGAACCGTGATATCATGACCTGAGCCAAAATCAAGCATTGGACACTTAATTGAGTGAGCCACCCAGGTGCCCCAGATATTGCATTTTTTGTAAACTGAAGGTTTTATGGCAACCCTGTATTGCAGGTATTTCAAACATTTTTATTATATTTGTTATGGTAATGTGTGATCAGTGCTTGCAACTTGCTGAAAGCTCAGATTAACAGGTAAGGATTTTTTTAGCAATAAAGTATTTTTTAATTAAGGCATATACATTGTTTTTTTAGACAAAATATTGTACATTTAATAGACTACAGCATAGTAACAACGTAACTTATCTGTACTGGGAAACCAAAAAATTCATTTGACTCACTTTATTACAATATTTCCTTTATTGTGGTCTGGAACTAAACTCAAAATCTACTGGGGCATGCCTGTACAAAGATTAAACAAATTAGTCCATGTGATAATAACAATAGCTAACACTTTTTGAGTACTTACCATGTGTCCATGTAAAACATTTAGAATATTAGCTGTTATTAATTCTGTGGCTTTTCTAGATGAAGGAACTCAGACTCCATGGTTTGAGTAGAGTTGCCTCAGGCTCTTGGAGACATCCATGGCCCTTGAGTTGGGAGGGTTGTCATTACAGCCACACTTGATGAAGATGCCTCAGGTAACATGTGGGGACAACAAGCTGTGTAATAGGCTGTTGGCTTCGAGGCCTGCTCAGAGTACTCTGTCTGTCTCCAGGTGTAGCCACCTTCTGTAAGGACAGTGCTACCCCCATGGCTGCTGAAGAAGGCCTCACTGGCCTACTTGCCACTCAGAAGGGAGACGTGGGTTGCTATGGAAACATGGATGAGTTCACCCAGGAGGAGCTTCGGGCTCTGGATAGTGAGGGCCGGGCCCTCCTCACACAGCACAAAATCCGGTAATAGCTCACATCCCTCTGTCACTGAGCACTGCTGCTTCTACTCTGAGTTTGATGATTCTGAGGCTTTCCTTAATAAACGTGTTGATCATGGAAAACTTCCTAAACTTGCCTTTCTGGGACTCTAGTTCTTTTTTTTTTTTTTAATGTTTTGTTTATTTCTAGGAGAGAGAGAGAGAGAGAGAGACAGTGTGAGCAGGGGAGGGTCAGAGAGAGAGGGAGTCACAGACCGAAACAGCCTCCAGGCTCTGAGCTGGCAGTCAGCACAGAGCCCGATGCGGGGCTCGAACCCACGAACCGCGAGATCATGACCTAAGCGAAAGTCGGACGCTTAACCGACTAAGCCACCCAGGCACCCCTCTGGGACTCTAGTTCTAATTAGGCTACTCACTGTGTGACCTTGGGCATATCATGTTCCCCTTTGAGCTTTGAGTTCCCCATCTCTACAGTGGGGAACTGCAGGAGGTCCAGCTCTCTTATTACCCAGGCACCTCAAAAGCAACTTTGCAACTCATCACCCCCAAGAGTGCACTCTTTCTGGGTGTCCTATCATTGTGAATGGCAGCACCATCACCTGGTTTACCTGGGTGTCATCATAGATGCCACTCTCTCTGCCTCATATGTAGTCAGTCCCCAAGTTCTGTGCATGCCAGCTCATTCATGTTTTTCTATTGCCTTCTTCACATCCATCCCACAGACAACCATTAAGTGGAATCTACATGGTATAGGGAGGGAAGGCTTGGAAATGACCTTTTTGGTTGGGGGGTGTGTCTCTTCTCCCCAGCACATGGGAAGGGAAAGAGAAGACCTTGACCCTAATCAACGTGTATTGTCCCCATGCGGACCCTGGGAAACCTGAGCGGCTGGCGTTTAAGATGCGCTTCTATCGCTTGCTACAGATCCGAGCAGAAGCCCTCCTGGCAGCTGGCAGGTATTGTAAACCTGGGCAGTACTTGAGCTTGTTCTAGATTCACAGCCCATTTAGGTGTCAAGCTTCATTGGAAGGGATGTGGGGTCCTTTGTCTTTTGAGTTCCTTTAAAGCCTAGATGAAGACACCAGCATGCCTACCTGAATCAGCCCTGCTCTATATGAGCTGTGAGGACCAGGTAAAGTGATACAAATACGGGTTTTATTTTCAGATACCTCTGAGCATCTATTGTGGCTCCTTTTACCCACTATGAGCCCCAAGGTTATTTCTTGTTTTATTTTCTCTTTTGTTAATTGAATGTATGAATTTCTATCTCACAGAATAGTTTTAAGGATGAAATGAGATGAAGAAAAAGTGCCTGGAACCAAATGAAAAAGTCTTGACCCAGGGAAGGACAGGAAAGTGAGGGTGGGTTAGAGTAATTAAGGGATGCTTCCTAAAAGAAGTAGCACCTAAGCTCAACTTGGAAGGTCCAGAAAGATGCCATTAGGTAGAGACCAGTGAGATAATCATGTCAAATAGGGAATGATATCATCTTTGGAGATCAGAATTGGGTTAGTCAGGCATAAAATGTGGTAAGGTTATGGTAAGGTTGGAGATGTAGGCTGCTACGCATTTCTGTGGGTTCCCACATTGGCCTCAAAGTAGGAAGTAGCCTATTTGTGCTCTTGGGCCCAGGGGAAAGTACATGGGCCAGAACTACTGCGTCCCTTTCTTGAATGTCTAGTTGATAATCCTACATCATGTTTTTCAGCCATGTGATCATTCTGGGTGACCTGAATACAGCCCACCGCCCCATTGACCACTGGGATGCAGTCAACCTGGTAAGGCTCTCCTAGGTCCCTTGCCTCACTTCTTTTTTTTTTTTTTTTCTGATTGTGTTTCTGTTTAGCCAGCCAACCAATGCTGTATTTTGGGCCCAAGGATAGCTTCTTTCATGGAAAAGCAGAGCTTAGTTTGAAATACTATTCTCAAAGCACTGAGGATTATTCATTCATTCAGAAGACAGACATTACTGATCTTGCCCTTGGCTTGGTCCTGAGCCATGTGCTGGGGACTCAGTTACCAGTCATTACTAGCTCTTGGCCCCTCAGAGGTCTTAGCATGGTGGTGGGCTGTGGACATAAAACCAGCCAATTACAGAAAGGTATCTTCAGGCTGAAGCAGAGATGGCAGGCCAGGAGTCTAGGGGTGCCTGGAGAAATGGGATTCCTGGGCCAGCCTAGACATCTGAAAATGGTTGGATTTTAAGATGAGTAGAACAGAGCTTTGGGATGGGGGAAGCAAAGCATTCTAGCATGAGCAGAGGCTTCAAGGTGAGGATTTGCCTGCTGTGCATGGTGAACTGCAAGTCCCATTCTTGTTAGGTGGTGACATGAGAAGGGAAGTGAGTGGCCGGACATGAGGTTGGAGAGTCCTTTGGGAGCCATATTTCAAGGTCCTTGAACTCTGCATTGCCTTGATCATTTCTCTAATACCATACATGGTTTCTTGCTCATGAACCTTCAGTAAGTACCTCCTTGTTCCTTATGCAATACAGAGAAAACATCTAGGCTTGGCACTGAAGATTTTTTTTCTGGTCTGTGCCATCTCCAATTCCATCCTCAGTACTCCTACACACTCCATCTACTGCACCCAGGTCATCTCCCAGTCCATTGCAAAAATTATTCTTATTTTGGCTCTTCTCACTGTACCATTCTGTCTTTTTTTTCTTGTATGAACCTCTCATCTGAGTCTTTTAAGCTGATGGTTCTCACCCCCTGATAGCACACTAGAATGAGGAACTTTTATAAGAATAGCCATATCTTGGTGCCACCCAGACCAATTAAATCAGAATCTGTTGGGCATGGGGCCAGTGTAGCAGTATGTTTTATTTTTTTTAATTAAAAAAATTTTTTTTAATGTTTTATTTATTTCCGAGAGAGACAACGTGAGCAGGGGACGGTCAGAGAGAGAGGGAGACACAGAATCTGAAGCAAGCTCCAGGCTCTGAGCTAGCTGTCACAGAGCCCGATGTGGGGCTCGAACCCACAAACTGTGAGATCATGACCTGAGCCACCCAGGCCCCCCAATAGCAGTATGTTTTAACAGGTCCCAGGTTAATTTTATTGTACAGTCAAGCTTGACAACTACTTAATCTATAAGCCAGTTCCCAATTTGCCTCAAAAGGGGACTGATGAGTGACTTATGCTGGCCTAGCCCAACTCAGCACTGGGCATGGCTCAAAGAAGAGGCTATAGGAAGATTCCTTGATTAGTTTGCAGAAGAGCCATATAAACGTAGATGTTGCTTTCAGCTGCAAAAATGAACAGAAATGAGATAATGAAAGAATGGTTGTGGGGCGCCTGGGTGGCTTAGTCGGTTAAGCATCCGACTTTCGCTTGGGTCATGATCTCGCGGTTCGTGGGTTCGAGCCCCGCGTCGGGCTCTGTGCTGACTGCCAGCTCAGAGCCTGGAGCCTGTTTCATTCTGTGACTCCCTCTCTCTCTAATCCTCCCCTTCTCACGCTGTCTCTCTCTCTCTCTCTCTTAGAAATAAAAAAAAAAAAAAGAATGGTTGTGGTTGTGTGTGGTAGGGAAGAGATTGTACATTACAAAGTGTGAGCCTTCAGTCCCTCCCTACCTTATTCCTCATCAGGCATTTACTCAGTCTGTTCTTTCTCCTTCCTGAGATAGTTTTATATAACTTTATGCCTTTTCTTCTTAGTTCAGAACTATTGTAGATCTCAAAGTTATACCTCTTCTTCCTTCTGGGAAAAGAGAATTAATAGTACCAGGTCACATGACAAGCACAGTCTTTCTAAATAGTAGAATATGTCCACTTCCTAAAAGAATGGCTCTTTTAGTACCCCCCCCCCCTTTTTTTAAAGTAGGTTCCATGCCCAATATGGGGCTTGAACTCAAGACCCTGAGATCAAGAGTCATATGTTCTACTGAATGAGCCAGCCAGGTACCCTGGCTCTTTTAGTCTTCATCTCCCTAAATGGCACCATTATCTCCTTGGCTGCTCCAACCAGAAGCCTGGGAGTTGTGTTAGTATTGTTCTTTTCTATCCACCCCCTGTCCCACATTCAGTTGATCAGTGAGTACTGTTGATTTTAGTTCCAAATCATCTCTTAATTTCATTTTTCTTTGTATCCTCAGGCTCTACCCTAGTTTGAATGATTATGTTCTCTTGCTTAGATGGACTATGACTGTTATCCTACTGGTCTGCTGGCCCCCAGTCTGGTCTCCCCTCAACTCTTTTGGGAGCACTGCTCCCTCTCTCCACAGGCCCATTACAGAGGCTGCCCTCTCAGTTTATAACACCCTCTGCCTAGGTTGCTCTTGATCAGCCTTCACTTTCCAGCTCCAGATCACTTGAGTATGAGTTCAGGCTCCCACTTTGTCCCTAGCATCATACCTGGCAAATAATCTGTGTTTTTTGAACATTTTTCATTGAGTGGGTGGGCAGGGGGATTGGATGGATGGATGAGCTGGGGATCAGAGCCAAAGGAAGTACTTAGGCATTGATTTGTGGAGCCCCTCAGCTGAGGAGTTGGTGGGGTAGCGGGAAGATGGTCTGTGAGGCCTTTGATACACACAAGATAAGCCAAATAGTTCCAGAGGGTTTAAATGAAAAGGGTTAACAGTCTTCTTAACTCCTATTCCCAGCCCTACTTCCTAGAAGTAACCATTTTTAACTTCCTGCTTTCCATCCTTTTGGGAGCAGTTCTGAGAATTGCTTTTATTAAGCAAACAATAAGCTTTCAGATTTGGCATTTATGGATCAATACAAGGCAAATGTAGTCTGATACAGAAAGAAAAACAAATATGGGCTTTTAAATAGGTAAGGATGGAAATTGAATACCACCAGTTCTGGACTGTGTGACCCTGATTATTAGTCTTCTTTGGAACAATCACATTTTCTCATCTGAAAAATGAAGCAGTTGGTTTTAAGTCTCTTCCAGGTCTAGGCATCTAGTTTTGCTTCTGTCTTCATTCCTCTTTCCCTTTTACCAGGAATGTTTTGAAGAGGACCCAGGGCGCAAGTGGATGGATGGCTTGCTCAGTAGTCTGGGATGCCAGACTGGGTCCCCTGTAGGACCCTTCATCGATAGCTACCGCTGCTTCCAGCCGAAGCAGGAGGGGGCATTCACCTGCTGGTCAGCAGTCAGTGGTGCTCGCCATCTGAATTATGGCTCCCGGCTTGACTATGTGCTAGGTGACCGGACCCTGGTAATAGACACTTTCCAGGACTCCTTCCTACTGCCTGAAGTGATGGGCTCTGACCATTGCCCTGTGGGTGCAGTCTTGAGTGTGTCCTCTGTGCCAGCAAAAGAGTGCCCACCTCTGTGTACCCGCTTCCTCCCTGAGTTTGCAGGCATCCAGCTCAAGATCTTTCGCTTCCTAGTTCGTCACAAAGATCCTGTGTGCAAGCAATCAGCGCTGCGACTCAACAATAAAACCCAGGTACAGATGCACCAAAACAAAGCCCGTGTGCGCTCAACCAGGCCTCGGCCAAGTCAAGCTGGCTCCAGCAGAGGCCAAAAAAACCTGACAAGCTACTTTCAGCCATCTTCCAGCCATCCCCAAACTTCTCCTAACTTGGAACTTCCTAGTGTGGGTGCCCTCATGACCCCAAAGATTCCAGAAAAGGAAGTGATGGCCAAAGTGGTAGAGGGGCAGGCCAGTGCTTCAGAGGCCAAGGATGAGAAGGAGATATGGACCTCTTTTTGGAAGTCTGTGCTGGGGGGGCCCTTGCCCATGCCCCTCTGTGGGGGCCACAGGGAGCCATGTGTGAAGCGAACTGTGAAGAAGCCAGGACCCAACTTGGGTCGCCACTTCTATATGTGTGCCAGGCCCCAGGGTCCTCCCAGTGACCCTTCCTCCCGCTGCAACTTCTTTCTCTGGAGTAGGCCCAGCTGAATCAACCCAGGCCTAGGGATATCTATCATGGTCAACCCTGTACATAGTCAGGTCAGCTCCCTCCTAAGCTGCCTCTTCTCCCCCAAGACCTCTTCTTCTGCTTTCCTCAAGGACCCTTCCTTTCCTCTTTCTCTTTTCCTTCTTTAAGGCCTCTGTATCTTCTTCCTGCCTAGCTCCTCCTCATTGGTGAGCTACTTGTTTGTGCCATATTGGTGTGACCCAGTTCCCCAAAGTGCTTCCCACTTTCCTGTCAGAAGTACACAGGAACCAATTGCCCCAGGAAGTTTATTTTAAACACCTTTCTTCTTGCTGACAAATATATTTGTGGCTAAATAAAGTTTGTTTTTATTTTAGCATACTATGTTGTGTACACAATTTGGATATGTTCCATGAAGTTGAGTCAGAGACATTATCTCAACACTGGGTTTGCCAGCTGCCTGTAGCCTGATGTTACAACTCCTAGGGAGAGGGAAGAAAGAGTGGTACTTACCATAAGGGTGCTCTGTTGTAATATGGGTTCCTTGCACTGCTGAGGTTGGGTCAGCAAGGGAGGTAGGTGTGGTGTATTAAAAGCTCAGGTGGATTGTGTAGTCTTAAACTGGCACTTCCCAACTGGTATGTTACACAGCTGCCACAAATGGATTATAGGGTGGAAAGAAATGGCCCTAAAGTTGCCAAGCAGGGCACAAAGGTCAGGAGAAATTGCCTCCTAGGCATGTAGTATCATTAGTTCACCCGGGTGTGCCATGCAAATGTATTCTGTGTGCTATGGCCTGGAAAGATTGGGAGCGTTGTCTTGAAAAAGTTGCTTGCCATAGCTAAGCCTCTTTCCCACCTTGGATAATAGACCTGGTAAGTCCTGTTCTATAAGGTCCTGTGGAAAAGAAAGAAGACATCCATTCTCTCTGCTGGGTAATACCTCCAAAGTTTTGGGGAACTATTCCTTTTCTTCCAGACAGTTCAGTTAGGGCTGATTCTATCTCCTGACTTCAGGGACTACATGGGCCTACTGTGTCCAGGTCTACCAGTAAAGAGTCAGTCCCTAGATTTGCATCATGGCTCTGCCACTCATCTGAAGGAGTCAGATATGCAGTTTTCTGTCTTTAATAAAGGGCTACAAATGCTGCAGTTTGTTCTTTATTTTTAGACTTGTCAGCTAGAGGCACACAATAAAGCAGAAGACAGAGGAGGAGGCTCAGTCTCATGTGAAGTGCAGATGGGGTGGGGCTTTGAGGCAGCTGGCTTCTCAGGCATAGGTGGTGACATACTGGGGCCCCATGTTTCCAAAGTAGGAACGTTCCCATTCACTCATAAGCTCAAAGTGCACAGGCCTGTGACAGAAATTGCAGGCAGCCATAGACGCATCCTGGAGAGGCAGCCCCACCTCATTCCAGGCTACCAGCAGCTTCTCTAAAAGGTAGTAGAGGGTGGGAAAGGAAAGAATTGGTTAGACTAAATCTTAATTCCCTTGTGTCACAATACAGATATGCCAAGATAATGATCCACTCAAGCCTCTGAGATATCTTGGAGCCAGAAGTAACCTCTTCTGTTTGCTCTATTGTGTGCTATGAATGTTACCATTTGTGGGTGGGTGTTGTATAAAAGATTGGGAAGCACTTATTTGACACAACTTAAAGCTGTACTAGCCTGGCTAGGATCAGGAAATGCTGTGGCCCAAGAAGTGAATCCATCTGCTTGGAAACTCAGCCTGATGAAGATAACACTGACAGTAATCCTACAGTGTCATCATTGTGACCTAGGAGCCTGGGGCAGAGGGTGTTCCTGGAGTGAGTGGGAACCCAGAGGAGAAAACCTGACCCTGTTGTTGGAAGTGCCTCATGTGTGTGCCAGGGCTCTGTCCTTGGATTTGTTTTTATGCTTAATCCCTGGGAGATTTTGTCTAGTCTCATGGTTTTTAAATGCTGAAAATTCTGAACTTTTCATCTTGGCCCAGACCCTTCTGAATTCTAGACTTTTATATCCAATTTTCTTTCTATATCTCCACCTGGATGTCTGATAAGCATTTCTCACTTCATATGAACACAATTGAGCTAATGATCTCCCTACCTTCCATCAAGTCTACTCTAATTTCAAACTTAACCTATCTCGCAGTTGATTTCAATTCCAGTCGCTCAGTTGAAAAATTTTAGAGCCATCCTTTATTTTTCTCTTTTTCTCCTACCACACATCCAATCTATTAGCAAGTAACTATTGGCTTCACCTTCAAAACTTTTTCATCACCTTTAATGCCATCATCAGGTCTGAGGCACTATCCTTTCTTACCTGGATTATTACAGTAGGCCCCAAATGGATCTCCGCTTCCTCTCAGTCTCCCTTTCAGTCTATTTTCAACATGGAAGTTAGACCAATTCTGTTAAAACCTGAATCAGCTATGTCACTCCTCTGTTCAAATCCTTCAAAAGACTGTCTATTTCAGAGTTAAAGCCAAAATCCTTCCACTGGACTAAAGTATCCTACACAGTCTGGCCTCACATTTTTGCCTCTTACGCCACTCCATCCACACTCATCTCTTTATTGTTCCTCAAGTACAGAGGAAATACTCCTGTGATTGGTTCTTCCCTGCCTTATGTTGTTCCATATGCCTGGGATGACCTTTCCTTTGATGTCTACCCAGCTAATTCATTCACCTCCTTCATAGCTTTGTTCAAGTGTCACCTCAATGATTTCTACCCTTAAAACTCTAATGCTACAAACCTACAAACTAATTTCTCCCCAGTAGCACTTCCTATCCCCTTATCCTACTGTTTTTTCCATAACACTTAAAGCTACCATGCTGTAATGCATTATTTATATTTTAAAGTTTTTTGACTATCTCCTTCCACTAGAATATTATCTCCAGAGGGATATTTTGCATATTTGTTTACTGCTGTATCCCCAGCACCTAGAACAGTGTCTGGCACACAGTACATACTCCCATACTCAATAAATATTTGTTGAAAGAATAAGTGAAAGATGACTGATTTAAGTCTAGAAGATAAAGGAAATAAGCCAGAGGGAAAAGTGAAGGAGGGCATTCCAATTAAAAAGGAGCATAACTGGCAAAATACCAGAGGTAAGAAAGCAGAACTAAATGAGAGAACTAAAAATCACTCAGTGTAACTGGAGAAATAAAAGGAGTGTGGAAAAAAAGTGAGGACATAGAGATCACCATGTTGAAGGCATTGAAGGTCATGCCAAGGAGCTTCAACTGTTCCACATGCCAGTGGTTTCCAAATTTTGGACTGTACATTCTATCAGTACAAACATTTTATTTATTTATTTATTTATTTATTTATTTATTTATTTTAATGTTTTATTTATTTCTGAGAAAGAGACAGGCAGCGTGAGCAGGGGAGGGTCAGAGAGAGAGGAAGACACAGAATCGGAAGCAGGCTCCAGGCTCTGAGCTAACTATCAGCACAGAGCCGACGCGGGGCTCGAACCCACGAACTGTGAGATCATGACCTGAGCCGAAGTTGGACACTTAACCAACTGAGCCACCCAGGCGCCCCAGTACACACATTTTAACACATACCTCCAATCTCTGAATGTTTTTTATATACTGATACTTGTATCATTGTCAGTCTATATGTTAAAGATCAATATCAGTAATGCCTAATTTCCTATTTTTAAGATATAAAAGGTAAACACAAAATTCTAATAATCCCTCTAATCCTATGGATTATCTTGCATACCTCACATTGGAGACCACTGCTCTAGTCTAGGCAAATAGGAAACATGAAGAGGTTTAAGCAAGGGAAGTATATAGTCCGATGTTTAGAAAAACCCCTCTGATGGTCATTATGGAGAAGAAATTAGAAGGGATCAAGAGAGAAGCAGGATAATTAGGAAAAAATCACACTGACATATATTCATAAACAGGCACTAGGGGAAAAAAAAACAGATTTGAGAGACTATAGAGACCAACTGCAGGACTTCAAGAAGGGTTGGCTGTGGGATTGAAGGACTGGTAGAATCATGGTAGATGCTTCTCATATGTGTTTATTGCAAAAGCTCAGCATAAATGGATACTCAGAGAACCAAGACTACTGAGGAATCTATAATTGAAGCCAAGAGCAATTTAGAGAAGTGAGCAAAAGGTCCAGGAGTCTGGATCATCAGCTGAGGTAGTAGATGTGGTTATGACCATGGAGGTAGAGACAGACTTCCCAGTTCAAATCTAGTAGTTGTGTGATCTTGGATCTGTTACTATGTATTTTTATGCTTCCATATATATATATATATATATATATATATATATATATGGAAATGCTGATAATAGCATCGTTATCCCATGAATATTCGATGAGTTAATACATGCAATGTTTAGAACAGTGTTTGGCACATGTAAGTACTTAATAGATGTTGGCTAACATATTTGATGTTTTTAAAGAATGAATGGCACTTAACTATCTTGTCTTCCTTGAGCTCTCATACTGCTTATGCTCCAGACATACAGAATGACTGTTGCCAATGTATGTCCTCTGTTTTCCTATCTCTAGGTCCTTGCTCATGGAATTTCCTTATTCTGGAATATCCTTACACTATACCACGTGTACTTAAAGGTGCAGCACAAGGACTTTCTCACCCTCAAAGCTTTCCTAACTTCATGCTTCCTACTTTATCTAGCCATAAGTGATCACTCTCCCTCCAGCTCCCAGAGCACTAGAGCTCATCATACTGGACCAGTACTGTCTATGTCTATCTCCTTTACTAGACCATCACCTGTATATTCGTCTTTTACACAAAAGACTTGGAATACACATCTGCTCTATGCTGGACTCTGTGCTAAAAACTGCACCCAATGGGAATCCAGTAAACTTTAGGTGGATGGACTAAACTGGCATCATTCAGGATAAAATCCAACCTACTCAGTAGTTCTACAAGCCTTTTAATTCAGTCTCTGTGTTGTGTTGTCTTTGTAGACTCATAGATTGACACTACCCTCCTCCACTTCATTCCTATTACCCTACATTCCAGTAACACCTACTTATTGTTCTTGATATATCTCAGGCTGCTTCACACTATTCTTGCCTTTATTCATGCTCTTCCCTCTGCTAGGAATACCACTTCCACACTCTCTTTCTTTTCTTGGTCCAATACCACTCACCTGTAAGACTCAGCTCAGATGTTACCTCCACTAAGAAGCCTGTCTTGAATCTTACATGTTGGGTCAGGCCCCTCCTTTCTGCTCCCACAACTCCCTGATGCACTGTCTTTGTTGAAATTTGATCACCCCTTAAGGTCATTGTTTGTGTCCACTAGGGCTCAATTGAACTGGGACCCTATGTGTCTATTTCTCATCCATTTATTACCCTAGTAATAATGCTATAGACACCCATACTGAGCACTTACCCACAAAGTCATCCATCATCTGAGGGCTATGGTGGGGGGAGGGTGCTAGGCGCAGCAGCTCTTCACCTCGGGGGACAGTTGGGTAGTTGATGGCCTGCACATAGATACCATGCTTGGAGAGCAGAAGATCACAGATCTTGCTGTTCAGTGCTGCATCACCCACCTGGGCTCAGGAGAAAACCTTGTCAGTATCTGTTAACCTAATAACTAGTTCCATTAAGCAGGTAGAGGGAGCCAGATGAACAAACATCACTGAATTTTGGGACAGTTTTTTTTTTTTCCCTTAAGGGGCTTATAGTGGCAGCTCCAGAATTTCTATTAAGGAGTTTCTCAGAGGCAGCAATTAAATGTGAAGGGGTGGGGATGGAGGTGGTGCTAAGTACTTTGTCTTGAAGCTGTTTGCAGAGCTAGCACACTTGTTTTACCTAGATGGTATGTTAATTTGCGGTGGTTCGGGGTAAGAAGATAACACCTGCCCCCCTGCAAGCTACCTCTGTGGTGCTTTCTTTGGGTTAATTAAAAAATATATATATCAAAATAGTCTTTCTCAATATCCCCAATATTTCCCAATATCCCCCAAAAAGAATATTGGGTTAGCCCAAGGAGCAGTGACTATTTTTTCTCATCCATAAAACAGTCACATAAAAAGTATCCTTACCACATCCTGACATACTGACACCTACAAATAGATGTGTTTTAAGAAAGAAGTAGTAATTCATTTCTGAAGGCAGTAAATTCTTAAACATAGTTGGGAATCCAAAATAGCACCTTGTCCCATGATTTTTTTTTTATTTTCTGGCTTAATTTTTTTACTTCAATTCTTATTAAGAAATGTTTCACATCATGACTGTTTTATATATACATATATACACATTTAAAAACTTCAAACAAATTCCTCACAAAATGATACCTTCTCTATGCTTGATGTATTCCAACATTTTCTGTTCTGTTTTTTTTTTTTTAATTTTTAATGCTAGTCATAACATACTAAACTGATTTTGTGACCCACTAATGGTCTTGGTCCATAATTTCAAAAACACTGGATTATAGGTCTTATGTACCCAATATTGGGAGGGTCAGGACAGTCTAATAATCATGAGATAATAGCTAATGCAAAAGAAGTGGTTAATCCAGAATGGCTGATAATTTTTCAAAAATGTAACAAAGATCCAAATAAGGAGAGTAGGAAAGCAAAGAGTTGATGAGAGGAGCAGGTGTTGGTTTGCTGGGTGTGGGAAGGCTTCCAGAAGAGATAAGTGAGTAGGGCAATGGTCAGGGTGGGACTCTCACCCGAATGGGGATGATGTGGCTGGGGCAGGGAATGATGGGAAGGCCCCTGTCCATTAGTAGCTGGCGCATGTGCTTGACATTTCGCTGGTGGGCTCGCCTCAGGGCTTGGCCCTCCTCTCCCTTGAGCAGTCTCACAGATTCCAGAGCTCCAGAGAGCACCATGGGAGGCAGTGAGGTGGTGAAGATGAAGCCAGCAGCATAGGAGCGTATCATGTCCACCAAGTCACAGGTGCTGGCGATGTAGCCCCCCACACAGCCAAAGGCCTTGCCTGGAGACAAGGAGAAGGATATGCACAGAGACCATCATTAGTCTCTACAGGAACAGGATCAAGTCCAGATAACACAAGGATGTGCACCAGAAGCTGGAGTTCCAGACTCCTTTCTCAGGCCTCTGCTTATCTCTCTTGTCCATGACAAGACAGACAGCTGATAATTCTGCTGCTTTGAGATAGGACTTTCAAGGTCTGCCATATGCAGCGACTAGATAGGCAGGAACTGGGTGGGGATCTTTAGCTGGCTAGGCCCAAAAGTGGAACTAAGGTGAAATTTGGAGCAGGAGTAGGGGAGGAATATAGAACCACAACTCTTCATGTACTGACTGGAATCTGGATATTTGGCCCAGGTTAGGGTTTTTCTCAAAAAACCCTCCCAGATTTTGTCAGCATCTCTGCAGTGGGGTGGGGGTGGAAGGAGAGAATCCAGGAGTTCCATAGCCTGAAGCTGTGGATTCTACCCAAATATCGTTTACAGTTTTGGAGAGGAGGAAGGAAAAGGTCTTACAGGGGCCTCCTTTCTGGATTATATATAAAGGGAGCCCAAGGTACTCACTCACCAAGAGTTCCAGAGACGATGTCAATCTTGTGCATGACTCCATCACGCTCCCCAATTCCAGCACCCCGGGACCCATATAGTCCTACAGCATGAACCTCATCTACGAAAGTCAGAGCCCCATACTGGTGAGCCACATCACACAACTCCTCAAGGGGACAGATGGCACCTGAGAAAATAGAGATAGGAGATCACATCCCTTCCCCAGCTCCATCTCCAGTATGAAATTTGTGACCTATAACTACTTTGGATTGGAAAAGGATGAGGGTGTGTATACTCAGTTGGGACTATTTCAAACCTCTTTAAATGTGTTGAATGCTTCCAACTCATTCCCATTCAAAAGGTGTGTGGTGTGGTGGTGGTGTGGTGGTGGTGGTGGTGGTGGTGGTGGTGGTGGTGGTGGTGTGGTGTGTGTGTGTGTGTGTTACTCCTAGTTTGCTATCAAAACTTACCTCTCTATCTTCCCATTTTTTACTTCTGACAGTATCTGTCCTGTTGTTTAAAGCATTTCCCAGCCTCATTCTATTTTTTTCCCTCCTACATCTGTGTATTTTCACTTAGGGTTGCACTGGCCCATATGATGCCTTTAATAAATTAAAAGCAATGTTTTGCTCTAGGTTAATGCAGTCCTGATTTCAGATCCAACTCATCCACTCAGGCAGGTGCTTTTGGAATCCCTGTCAATATCTTTATACTTCACTGGTCCTCCCTGTTTCTATCTTCTGGATTTCTGTCACTATCTGTTTTTCATAGCCATTTCCATTGTTATTTTTATGTCTCCATTTTTCTGTCTCTGCTTTTGTTTTTTCTCTCTCCTCTCTTCTTCTTCTTTTTCTTTTTTGCCTTCCCTCCCTCCCCTTCCTCCCTAACTTACTTTCTCACTGTTTGTGTCCCTTCTGTCTATCTCTTTCTGCTTCAGACTTTATTTCTCTGTACTTTTCTGTCTCTGAGTTTCTCTGTGCCTCTGTCTCTTTGTCTTTTCTGTGTCTCTATGGGATTGAATTTCTCTCACTTATGTCAATACTGTTACCTGGGGGCACCCTCCCACAGGCACAGTCTCAATCTATTGAACGAAAGAGAATTAGAAGTATTCTGTATGTTTCTTGCTATTTTTCATACAGATTTACCATTTTCCCATGTTATTTTAGCCATCTTCTATGCTGATAGTTGTTTATAAGGTCTTCAAATGGCAGTGAATCTCATATATATACTTTGTGGCCACTCTGCATATACAGGAACTCATACATTCTGTCTTTCCCCATCTGGAAAATGCTGAGGTGCAGGGAGTTGGAATACAGAAGAAAGTTCTTAAGGTGAAAACGGGCTCCAAACCAGGATTAAAGAGTGTGAGCAACTCTTGGGACAACATGAGGGAAGAAAATCATAGCAGGTGGAACTCGAGATAAAGAGTAAGATGTCTCAAGCATCATTTCAATGGGAGAAATTTAGCCCTAGAATTGATAGTTTAAGCAATTTCCACCAACAAAATAAGGAGCCACTCATTTGCAAATGTAAGGAAGTTAAATGATACCAAAATTGTTTCCACTAAAGACAATGAATTAGACTAGTTTCAGCAGTGGAAATATAATCATGAGATAGTTTTACTTTATTGCTAGTTGTAGAACTGTGCAGTGGGCACAACAATAAGTTCTTCACATATATCAACTAAATTCTCACAGATACTCTATTATAACCTCCATTTTACAAATAAAGCAACATACGGAGAGCAATTAAGAAAATCGCCCAAGCTATTAAGTTGTCATGTTGGGATCTGAACATGAATAGTCTGGTTCCATTGTCTGAGCATCATGGTTACATGATGCTGATGGCACTTACATTGGCTAAATCGGGTAATACTATGGACTCTCCTTTGTTTCAGTTGGATAAACAACAGATTGAAGTGAAGTGAGTACATCTTTCTTTAATAAATCTAGAAGGTGATGCCTAAAACACATGATTTCTACTGAAGAAAGGTAGCAATAGAATAATTTGGGCATTGTTTAAGTTGGGGGAAGAGCAGAGGAAGGAGGGTAGAGGTCATTGATTTCTACTTAGATCATAATAAATGGGAAGACTTCCATTGTCTCTAGTTCTTGCAACCAAATATTTTATGCTGGGGAAAACTGAGACTCAGGGAGTTAAAGAATTACTAAAGACCGTAGAACCAGTAAGTGCCAGAGGTGGGATTTGAGCCCAAATCTGTCTCACTTGAAAACAAGTTTTGATTCCAATGCTTCATATTGGATTTTGAAAAAACTCCCAGCCAATGGTTTGTAAAATTTTTCATTACAGAAACCAGACACTTGGATGACTGATACACACATCATTTCTAAGGAGGGAGTGTTGTGTGAAGGAATTGGAATCATATGTCCTTGGTGAAAATACTTTGGCACCAATTTACTGATCCAACCAAGACAAGCTGAGTGCTGTCTCTGAACTTCAGTTTCTTAACCTGTAAGATCAGTATCATAGCTGCCTCCATCCTTTGGCATATACTGGCTATATGACCTTGGGCAAGTTATTTAACTTGTTTGTGTCTCAGTTTCCTCATGTAAAAAAATAGAAATAATAATAACACCTACCTCATAGAATTGTTTTGAAGATTAAGTGAATTAATACATGTAAAATACTATAATTTTTCTTGAGATATAAAAATTTCTATACATGTCAGCTATTATCATTATCATCATGGTTTTTGCTATATACATACCATCCATGGAGTGAACAGTCTCAAAGGCCACAATTTTAGGTGTATTAGGGTTGGACTCCTTTAGAAGTTTCTTCAGGTGGTCAGGGTCATTGTGCCTGAAGACAAACTTGGCTGCTCCACTGTTGCGGATACCTTGGATCATTGAAGCATGATTGCCTGCATCTGAGTAAATCTCACACCCTGAAGAACCAGAGGCATATTTCTTAAGCTTCTGTTCTAGTATTTCCACTTCAATCTCAGGATTGACCTGACAGGAGCAGAGAGCCAACCCTCTCTCCCTTTGAAGATCCTGCTCTGCTTCCTTCTCCCCTGGAAGTCTTTTTGACACCTCTTCCTCCCTTGAAAGAACTACCCTGCCTGAAATTTTGACACCTATGCCCTTCCCTTCAGTCCATTCTAACTCTGATTTGGCACTGACTATCTTGGTTTGGAGGAAATTTTAATTTCCCAAGAAGCCCTAGAGTTTCTTGAGGGCAGGGTCAAAATATATAAAATCAAAATACATAAAATCAGGCCTTGGAAAGGAGTTTATCCCAGGGAATTCTTGTTTATTTGGACTGATACTAGATTCTTCCTGGTTTAGATGAAATACCACATCCTTCAGGTAGCATCTCTCTGCTTATAGTTACAGGGTGGATACTTATCACATTTTCAGTTTGAATCATAAGCTCATGGCATGTCAGAGCAGAACAGAATATTAGTGAACATGGAATCCAGGTCCTTAACTGTACAAGTGAGGAAGCTAAAGTCTGGAGAAAGGTTTTCCTTTCTCTATAACCTGAGGAATGCAGAGTTTTTCACTGAACAAATATGCGAGGTCAGATAGAGGTGGGAAATTGATGGATGGAATTTATTCTTGGCTCCCCCAAAATTGCACTGACATCAAGGAACTATGGCCTTCCATTAGAGTAAGGGAACACTTCTAACTGAGGAAATTAAGCATGACTTCCTAGAGGATGTGCCATGAAGAAAAGTAGACTGGGAGTTTCTTGAGATAAGGAGTCAGAAATTTTTATTGTTGTTAATGCAAGAATATGTTATTTGAAGGGCACATTATATAGTGTAGTTCCAATGAGTTAAGCATATGGTTATTCCCGTATGCTTCTACAAATACCTTTACAAACACATATCTTAGTGAAAGATGTTCCTTGAAAGACACATTATACGCAGTATAGTTTAATGAGTTAAGTATGTGGATATTCCCATCTGCTTCTACACATAAGTTTATGGACACTTATATGTCAATAAAAGATATTATTTGTAGTTTTGATTTGTAATCAGTGATGTTGAGCATTTTTTCATGTGAATGTTGGCAATCTGTATGTCTTCTTCGGAAAAATGGCTCATGTCTCCTGCCCAGTTTTAATTGGATTAATCATTTTGGGGGTATTGAATTTTATAAGTTCTTTATATATTTTGTATACTAACCCCTTATCAGATATGTCATTTGCAAATATCTTCTCCTATCCCATAGGTTGCCTTTTAGTTTTGTTGATTATAAAGTACCAAAACTGAAACAGGAAGAAATAGAAAACTTGAACAGACTGATGACTAGCAAAGAAATTGAGTCAGTAATCAAAAAATTCCCAACAGATCAAAGTCCAGGGCTACATGGCTTCACACGCAAATTCTACCAAACATTTAAAGAAGAGTTAATACTTATTCTTCTCAAACTATTCCAAAAAATAGAAAAGGAAGGAAAACTTCCAAATTCATTCTATGCATCCAGCATTACCCTGATACCAAAACAAGATAAAGACTCCATTAAAAAGGAGAAATACAGGCCAGTATCCCCGATGAATATAGATGCAAAGATTCTCAATAAAATACCAGCAAACCAAATCCAGCAAATAGTTTTAAAAGTAATTCACTATGATCAAATGGGACTTATTTCTGGTTTGCAAGGGTGGTTTGATATTCTCAAATCAATCAATGTGATATACCACGTCAATAATAGAAAGGATAAGAATCATATGATCATTTCAATAGATGCAGAAAAAAGCATTTGACAAAGTACAACATCCACTGATGATAGAAACCATCAACAAAGTAGGTTTAGAGAGAACATATCCCAACATAATAAAGGCCACATATGAATAACCCACAGCAAATATCATCCTCAGTGGGGAAAAACTGAGAGCTTTTCCTGTATGGTCAGGAACAAGACAGGGATGTCCACTCTTGCCACTCTTATTCAACATAGTACTAGAAGTCCTAGTCACACCAATGAGACAACAGAAAGAAATTAAAGGAATCCAAATCAGTAAGGAAGAAGTAAAACTTTCACTATTTGCAAATGACATATAGAAAACTGAAAGTACTCTGCTAAAAAACTGCTTAGAACTGATAAATGAATTCAGTAAAGTCACAAGATCTGTTGCGTTTCCATACACCAATAATGCAGCAGCAGAAAGAAAAATTAAGGAATCAATCTTATTTATAATTGCACCAGAAACAATAAGATACCTAGGAATAAGCCTAACCAAAGAGATGAAATATCTGTATTCTGAAAAGTATAGAACACTGATGAAAGAAATTGAAGAGGACACAAAGAAATAAAAGACATTCCATGCTCATGGATTGGAAGAACAAATATTGTTAAAATATCTATACTACCCAAAACAATCTACATATTTAATGCAATCCTTATCAAAATACCACCAGCATTTTCACAGAGCTAGAACAAACAATTCTAAAATGTGTATGGAACCACGAAAGACCTCAAATAGCTAAAGCAACCTTGAAAATGAAAAGCAGGGGCACCTGGGTGGCTCAGTTGTTTGAGTGCCCAATTTCAGCTCAGGTCATGATCTCATGGTTTGTGAGTCTGAGCACTGCATCAGGCTTGCTGCTTTCAGCACAGAGCCCCACTTCGAATACTCTGTCCTCTGCTCCTCTCTCTGCCCCTCCCCTGCTCACACTCTCTCTTTCAAAAACGAATAAACATTTATTTTAATAAAAAGAAAAGAAAAGCTGGAAGTATCACAATTCTGGACTTCAAGTTATATTGCAAAGCTATAGTGACCAAAACAGTATGGTACTGGCACAAAAATAAACACATAGACTAATGAAACAGAATAGAAACCCCGGAAATGATCCCAGAACTGTTTGGTAAATTAATCTTCAATAAAACATGAAAGAATATCCAATGGGAAAAAGTCTCTTAAAGAAATGATGTTGGGAAAACTGGACAGCAACATGCAAAACAATGAAACTAGACCACTTTCTTACACCACACATAAAAATAAGTTCAAAATGGATTAAAGGTGTAAATGTGATACCCGAAACCCTAAAAATCCTAAAGGAGAACACAGGCAGTAATCTCTGACATTGGGTGTAGATTCTTACTAGATGTTTACTGAGGCAATGGAAACAAAAGCAAAGATAAACTATTGGGACTTGATCAGAATAAAAAGCTTATGCACAGGGAAGGAAACGATCAACAAAACTAAAAGGAATCACATATATATTATCTTTCTGTCTCTGGTACTTAGTATAAGGCTAAGTATACAGTAGATGCTGAGTAAACATTTCTTGAATGAACAGATGGATAAGCAAATTACTTATTTATAAGTGAGTAAATAAATATGTTACTGAATGAAAGAGTGAGAGGAGAGGAATCAAAAGATAAGGCTGAAGAGGTAGAATGAAGCTAGATTTTTGAGGACGTTAGAAGCCAGGATAAAAAGTTTGGGTTTGGTCCTAAGGACAATAGGAATATACTAAAGGGTTTTTGGCAGAGGGGTAATGAAGATAGGTTTGCATTTAAAAAATATTATTCTGACTGCCACGAAGAAAAGAATACAAGAGGGCAAAGGTGAAATCAAGAAAATGATGTTGATTTAGGCTAGGATGGTGGCAGTAGAAATGGAAAGAAGTTGAATTCTAATGATTGAAGAGGAGGAGGTTCACTAAAAAAATTCCCAAAGAGGTTGGGTTTGGTTGGGGTTATGTGTGATCTCAGAAAAAAAGTTTTTGAGAAGTAGTGGAGATGTTTACAGTGTGCAGAAGAATCAACAGGAAGTAAGGAAGTAGATAACAAGTGTGGAGACTTCTCTCAAGTAGTTTTTCTCTTATAGGGAAGAGAGAGATAGGCCAGTAGCTAGAGACTGATGAGAGGGCTTTTTTTTTTTTTTTTTTAGATAAAAGAGACGTTAACATGTTTAAAGAGGAGAGGTTGAAGACACAAGAAGGAGAGAAGGAAGTGATAGATGAAGGTTCCTGAGGAGGCAGAGGGGCATGAGACACAGAACACCAGAAAAAGGATTAGTCAACAAGAAAAGGGGCCGCCTGGGTGGCTCTGTCAGTTAAGCGTCTGACTTCGGCTCAGGTCATGATCTCATGGTTCGTGAGTTTGACTCTGCATCGGGTTCTGTGCTGACAGCTCAGAGCCTGGAGCCTGCTTCAGATTCTGTGTCTCCCTTTCTCTCTGCCCTTCCTCTGCTCATTCTCTCTCTCTCTCTCTCTCTCTCTCTCTCTCTCTCTCTCTCAAAAATAAAAACATTTTAAAAAAACAAGAAAAAGGCACTTCTTTAATTGTGGCAGGAGAGAAAGAGTGAAGAGAGGACGTGTGGGGATGTTTGAGTTTGTAGGTAGTTTTTGTCAAGGAGTTGAGGACATCTCTACCTGGAGACTTCTGTTGTCGGTGAGGAAAGAGGTGAAGTCATTTGCTATGGGTGAGGGTGAGGTGGAAGTGTGGGAAGGCTGATAAGAATGGGGGATTTGCAAAACTGCTTGGGAGACTTAGAGGACTGAGCATGGAAACAGAATTGCCAGACAGCATAGAGGTCCTGGTAAAGGTTGAGTACCATGAATTTTTAGTGGTTCCCATCTGAGAAATTATATACACCTAGTATTGGTAAGGAAAAGGTGGAGAGTTATATTCATCTGTGGTTGGAGCTGTGATGGAATGACAAGAGTCGAGGACATTATTAACTAGAGAGTGGGAGATTGGGAAGATTAGGTCCAGATGGGATCCACTAGGATTGGCTTTAGGAAGAAGAGATGTGCCTTCAAGTTGTAAAATGAAAGAATGAAAGAAGCACAGATAAAAGTTAGATACATTTGTAGGCTTGGTGGCTGTAAGTTAAAAGGGTTTCTGTCTGGGGGCTTCTGTTTTCTTTGCGATGTGAGATGTGATGCTATTTGCCAAGAGTGAAGGAAGAGATAGTCATAGGTTTTAAAAGAGAGAATAAAGCTTGAAAAAAAAGCTAGTACGGAGATATAAAAGGACTGTTTATGAGTGTTAAGAGCCCAGTTGATTTGGGAGGTGATAAATTTATCATGTCACCCATCTGTGAGGTTGGGCACTAGTATTACTACTACTCTGTAGTAGTCTTCAGCCTAAGTGAAGAAGGGGAGGAATGAGAGGGATACAGTCATCCAGTGTTGAGGATACACAAAGTGGGTAAGAAGGAATGGCAATGGGAGCAAATGAACTCAGAACAGAAAGAAAAGTTGATGAAGGCAGTGAGGCTTCATGCTGTAGTGCAGGATACCAACAATAACAGAACCCAGGCCCCAGGCTTACCTGGAAGGATCTTTGCCAGGGTGAAGAGAGTAGAGTCATTGGCCACAAAGCAGGAAGAGAAGAGTAGGGCTGCACCTTTTTGGTGCAGCTCAGCCAGCTCTTGCTCCAGCTCCACATGAAACTTACTGGTACCTGAGATATTGCGGGTACCACCAGCTCCAGCTCCGTGACGCTGCAGAGTCTCCCTGACCAGGAGAAAACAGAGAGAAGACAAGGGGGTGGGGGGGACTTGTCAAGCGCTGAGGAACTGAGCAGTTTTCTCTTCATTGATTGAGATCAGTGTTGACTTAGTGATCCTTATGAGCTGTGTCCTATGTAATCAAGTTGAGGCCAGGATAGAGAAAATGAGGAGACAAGGGTCCTCCTTCCCAGGCTGATGGCACTCAGGGATGGAGGGAGAAGCTAGGTTGAATCTGAACAGCTTGGAAAACCTTCTAGATGAGATCACATACTATGTCTGGCAATACTCATTCTGTAACCAGAATAAGAGCTCATGGAAAGTGGGCCTTGTTTGGTCTTCCATCTTCTCCTCATAAAACTGGACAATCAAGACTTTGTAAATCATGGTTTGTTGGCTGACATGGTTCATATCTGAAGATTAGATATGCTAGAAGACCATGAACAAAAGGGTTGGTAGGTGGAACACAGGTTTCCACTGCCAGTTCTGCCTTTCCCATGTGTGGCTTTGATTCTTCTCTGTATGTGTTCCCACAGCTCATGACCCAGATCTTACTACTCACTGTGTAGCTTGCAAAACCCGAGGGTGTCGGCTCATGCCTAGATAATCATTACTGCACCAGACAGACACATCCTTTGAGGCCACAGAGGCCTCAGAAAAGTGTTGGGCAAACGGGTATGCATCAGCCCAGCGGTTTACAGTCTTGAACACACGGTAGGTGTGGTCCTGTTTCTTCTCCATGATCTTGTGCCTGAAAAACTGGTCATAACCAAAAACATGGTTCCCTGCAGAAGTAGAGATGGAGATGAAAATAATTCATTTTAAATTACTTCCGGATTAGTCAATATTTTATTTGTGCTGTTGATTTTGAGTTCTCCAGTTCTCTATTTATTCATTTATTTGATCAGTCATTAACTTACTGAGCCACAGTAACTCTCCACTACTTCAAGTATCCCTTTGGTTACTCACTTGCTTATTCACTCAGTAAATTATTCATACATTCACTCGGGCTGCCTACCCCTGGCATGGCCTCCTCTCTTTTTCTAAGGTTAGTGTCTTAGCCTTCTTACTGAAATCACTACTTCTAGTTTCAGTAAAAAGAGTTTCGACAGATACGGTTTCTAGTCATTTCTCCGCCACTTCTTAGTTATGTGACCTTGAGCAAGTCATAAATCCTCTCTTAGTTTTAATCTCCTCATCTGTAGAATGGGGCTAATAATACCTACTTGCAGAATCGTGAGCATTTGATGACAAACAGAATGTAATACACTCAAACTAATATCTGGTACATAGTAGTATTATTACAATTATAGTAGTAGTAGTAGTAGTAATAGTAATAGTAACAGCTAATATTTAATTATATTATTATAACCAGTATTTAACAAGTACCTATTATAGGTAATGCCTTCTTTTAGGGACGTTATAAATATTATTTCACGTATTCCTCACAACAGCCCTGGGTGGAGAGGTTTCTTTTTATTTTTTAATGTTTATTTTTGAGAGTGAGAGAGAGAGAAAGACAGAGCGGGGGAAGGGCAGAGAGAGAGAGAAGGAGAGCTAGAATCCGAAACATGTTCCAGGCCCTCAGCTGTCAGCACAGAGCCCAATGCGGGACTCAAACTCAGGAACCACGAGATCATAACCTGAGCCAAAGTCAGACACTTAACCAACTGAGCCACCCAGATGTCCCTGGATAGTTTGATTTTCAATTTTACAGATGAGGAAATGGAGACATAGATAGGTTAGGTAATTTGACCAAGGTTATGCAGCAAGTAAGTGACCTACAAGTATATGACCTAGAGTTTACTTTTTTAAACTGCTACTACTACAAAATGGAGCAATACTATTTTCAGGATAAATGGACATAATGTATGTCAAAATATTTGTTAAACTCTAGAACTCTATACATGAGACAGAAATCATGATTGTTGCAGATGACCACTTACATGGTAGGGATGTAAGTTGGTAACATCTTTGCTGTAGGGATGTTTGGAAAAGAGTTTTTAAAATGCAAATGCTGACATATTTAGAGAAATACTTGTAGCATTTTTAACAGAAAAAATGATTGATACTCAGAACTTCTTTTTTATTCTTTTTTATTTTTTGAAGTTTATTTATTTATTGTGAGAGAGGGGGAGGGGCAGAAAGAGAGAGAGAGAGAGGGAGAGAGAATCCCAAGCAGACTCCAAGCTGTCAGTGCAGAGCCTGATGCTGAGCTCAATCCCATGAACTGGGGGATCATGACCTGAACTGAAATCAAGAATCCCATGCTTAACCAACTGAGCCACCCAGGTGCCCCCAGAACTTATTTTTTAAAAACTCTGAAAAATTACTACAAAAACTTTTCAAACTAATAGAAAAATGGCAAAGAATATAAACAGAAAATTCAATAAATGTAGAAGAGGATGCTTGATCAAGGAAAATCAAACTGTAAAATCAAAATTTCACCCATATAGATAACGATTTAAAAGTTTGATAATATCGAGTGCTGGCAAGAGTATGAAATATGGATACTCTCTTTGATAACTGGTATGCCCCTTAGAAGCACTAATTGACAATATTTATTAATATTGAAGTTGTATGCAACCTTACACCCTAAGAATTTCCGCCTCTTAATGCTATCCTAGAGAAAAAAAACTTACCTATGTGCATGAGGAATATATTCAACATTGCTTATTACACCATTGTTTGTAATAGGAAAAACTAAGAACAACTCAATAGCTAAATAACCTCTAGTATATCCATACTGGGTCTATGATAATACTATATATTATCTTTGAGTACATTTATATGTGCATAAAACCAACATACAATATAAATAAAGAAAGTTAAAAATTTGAATATAGTAACCTGAATTATAGATGTTTGATTAACTGAACTGATGGTGTATCCATGCTACAGAAGACATTTCAACTATTAATAATTATTATGCAGCTCTATGCTTAGGGACATGAAATTATGTCCAAGACATATTGTAAGGTAAACCAATCAAGATAACAAAACTGGTAGAATAAAATCACATTTCTAGTAAAAAATGCATGTGGACGGAAGCATAGGAGGTATGTGTGTGTGTGTGTGTGTGTGTGTGTGTGTGGCCAGCCATGGGAAAATATCTGGAAGAAAATATAACAAAAAGTTAATGGTGAATGGTGGATCTCTGAGTGATTTAAATTTCCCTCTTTATATTTTCCTGTATCTGTTGAAAAATACAATGATTCATATTCTTTTTATATTAGAAAAAAGCCAAATTCTATTATGAAATATTAATATAAAAACTTACAAGAAAGGGGGAAAGGCTCTCTGTAAAGGATGAGTTGTTTTTTTCTTAAATAGTTTATTGTCAAGTTGGTTTCCATATAACACCTAGTGCTCATCCTCACAAGTGCCCTCCTCCATGCCCATCACTCCCCTCCCCCCTACCCTTCCCCCACCCCATCTGCCGTCAGTTTGTTCTCGGCACTCAAGAGTCTCTCATGGTTTGAGAGGGCAAGATGGCGGAGAAGTAAGGAGCTCCGTACTTGCACTCGCGCCCATACATCACACTGAAAAGATCTGAAGCCATTGGAAACCTTAC